CACCTCACCTTTTCAGCATCAAGTGTGGGAAGAAGATGTCTGCTTCCACACACATCAAGAAAAATGTTCTCCTGGGGCACGTGGGGGGCTCAGATGGTTAAGCGTCTGCCTTCGGCTCAGGTCAGGATCCCGGGGTCCTGGCATCGAGCCCCGCGTCAGGCTCCTGTTTCAGTGGGGAACCTGCTTCTCCCTCTTCCTCTGCCTCTCCCCCTGCTCATGCTCTCTCCCTCTCTCTCTCTGTGTCTCAAATGAATAAATAAAATCTTAAAAAAAAAAGAGAAATGTTCTGCTGAACAGAAACAATAGATACACGAAGCAAAGAGAGCACAGTGGAAACTATAAGGTAGGGAAGGGATGTGACTGAGAAATGACTCCGGGGGTCTGTGCACTCTGGGGAAAAGAGAAGCCAAGAGCAGAAACCACCGGGAAGCAGCAGCCTTGGAGGTGGTGGCCGGGGCTGCCCCAAGGACCAGGGCCTGCCCAGGGCCTGACCTTCATAGTTCTAGAACTCCCACTCTGCCATGTCCTCTGAGTAGAATTACTACTCTATTATTACATTATTTACTTTTGCTACATGTTTAGGCATGAATTTATTACATTCTGAGGCCATATTTTTACCCAAATGCAAAAACTTCTATTTGAGAAAATTCACAAAATTTTGGTTTCTAGTCAGCTCCGCAGGAAGCCCCCCTCTCTCAGCTGAGGCATATCCGTACTTAGGGATACAGCAAAGAGCTGGACTGGATTCCTCTGCACCTTCATTACTCTAACGATTTATCTTCCCTACTTGTGATTTAAGTTGAGCTACATCTTACTTGGAGATTGGAAATTGGAAACCAAAGCACATCTGCTGACAAAAGGGTGTTCCAAGAACTGGAAAGCCCGGGGAAAACCAAAAAAGGGAAGCATCAGATAAACAAAGAAAATGGCTCCTGCCAGCAAGAAAGTACTAAACATAACATGGATGTAGGAAAATGAGCTCGACATCAAGCCCAGCAGGGGAATTAAAAATATCATTTAAGTAATGCCAATAAAAGATGAGAGAAAACCATAAACAGACAGGTGTGCTCTGTTGATAAAAAAAAAAGTTTTCTGGCAATACGTGTTTATGCAAACATTTCAGCACAGGCTCTTTTCACGATACCTGATGCCAAATGCTGGGCTAGGAGAGAGGGTCTGTGGATGACGCACTGACAAAGTAAAGAAGAGAGGAGACCCATTCTTCTCCAAACAAACAGGCAGATCATAATCATGTATGAAAAGCCCCACTTGAGAGAGAGAAAGAGACTGGGGGGGGAGGGGCGATGAGGACAGGACAGACGGCTGGCCACAGGCTCACAGCTGGAGAAGAACCAGATTAAACCCCAGTATAAAACTTGGTCTTAAATCCTTTAGAAAAACAACAGCTATGTGAGGCCCAGCACTGCCAATATTCCTTGATTTAGGGATTTTTTGTAAAGCACTCCTTCAACCCTGACTGTGCAAAGAAGCTGCGCCTCTCCTGGCCCAGGGCCAGAGTCCTACCGTCTGGGAGGGAGACAGGCTGAGGCCCAGGGCATTCGTCAAGCCACAAAGACTCATTCATATCCAGGTGGACGCGGCCCTGAGGCTGAGCCTGGACAGGAGGCAGAAGCAGCTGCACACGTGTGATAAGGTTCATTTCCCTGGAGCATCAACTTTACTTGAAAATATGAGTGAAAAACATATCGCGTGGCCACATGAAGGACTGGATTACAATATTTAAATTGACTTTTAGAATAAAGCATGAGATTTCACAAAACACTGGCTCTTATTTCAATGCCCCCCTCCCCAAATCTCTCCAGCAGACTACCCCCTTTCTGACTGTGGTCTAAAGGCAGGCGCTGTTCGGGTGCTGGTGCAGACACTCTTCTCTCCTCCGCACATTCATGCTGGCCAATCGCACCCCCTCCCAAGACCTCGTCCGGCAGACCTGTACCCATGAGCTTCTCCTCTGAGCACCGCAGCACCACCCTTCCCGAGCTCCCAGACCACCTCACTCAGTCTGTCCTGCTACACAGGTCCCTCGTATTTAATGCAGCCAACATGCAATTTGCCGTTCTCGGTGCTTCCCATCCCTAGCTGACACATCTCTGCCTCCGCCACAACAACCTGCTCCCACCTCAGGAAGCACCACCAGCACTGAGCCAGCCGCCCCAGCAGAACCGTCCTAGCCTCCCTGATTCTGACAACCATTTACTGACCAAGACCTGTTGGTTTCAGCACACCTGATCTAACTCCCTGTCACCACCACCTCTGTGGATATAGGGTGTACATTTTTTTTGAAGATTTTATTTTATTTTTTTAAGTTATCTCCACACGCACTATGGGGCTTGAGATCAAGTGTCGCATGCTCCACCAACTGAGCCAGCCAGGCACCCCACGGTGTACATTCTGTTGCTAGGGAGATGCTCTCAGATTCAGTTTACTTATCTGCAATCTTTCAGCTAAAATAACCCATCTTGAGCTTCTAGTCCAAACCTTACATTTTATACATAAGGAAAACCAGGCACAGACAAGCAATGTGCTTATAAGGTCCCCAAATTACTAAGAAATCAGCAACTGATTAAAGAGCAAAACTGATGACATTCACACACAGGAGAAACACATACGGACTAAAGCCAACATATTTTGAAAAATAAGCTTTTTTCTGTAATACATCCAGCATGATGGAATACTACACAGCTACACAAAAAAGAATGAGGAGGATCCGTGTATACTACAGTGTGGGCCTCACAACATGCTGTTTAAGTTTAAAAAACGAAAACAAGATGGAGAAAAGCTGTATTGTATGCTACCAATTTCTAAGAAAGAGGGCTGTGTGCACATACATACATTAAAAATAGATCTGTTACCTATGGAGGAAGGAAGAAACAGGGTATAAAGATTAGGAACAAAAGCCTGATTTCTGAAAATATTTTATTTTGATTTGGAAAAATGAAAATGTTTTATAAACTTACAACAAAATTTTAAAAGAAGCTATTCCTTCAAATTCAAATAAAAAAATGGATATGACTGTGTAAACAACTTGCTGGCACGCTAAGGGGCTGGCTCAGTGACTTTAAAGCTTAATTTGGCAAAATATCCCTAGGGATGTATACTCTAAAGACAAAAAAACCTGCAGGAAACCCTAAACTGTTTTCAGGAATCATACTGTTGGTAATATATTGGTATTGTTATTCTAATGTATCACATAGATTTTATAGGATAAAACAAGTAATGATGCTAATGTTGTTAGAAACCAAGGTTTTCAGCATTAGAGAAAAGATATATCAATATAAACACAAAGAAGTAAAAACCAAATAATACTAAATTTGAAACAAACAACAGTATGAACTCATGATATTTTCACTTAAAAAGCGTATTTGCTAGGCTGTCTGTCCAAAAGGCCTGGAAACAATTAACAGCCCGGTAGCAGTGAGTCTCCCCAGTGCCCAGAGTGTGGTCTCAAGATTTTCTACAAAAGGGAACCAGAGCTGCTCAAAGAAAGAGGCAATGCCAGGTCTGGGGCAAAGAAGTTTAGAAGGAATCTGAAACATGTTACCAGCACAGAAAGCAAGGGAAGTAAGAGTGTGGGGCCCATCAAAGGACAAAGGAGCCCACTCAACGAGGCTCTGCTGGCCATAGTGGCTCAATGTTAGCATCTATAAGAATCCTAATTGCGAGGGATTTAAACATACCACAGAGAACTAATTTCATGAGTTTGTCACACTACTTAAAACAGTCACTGGTCACTTTGGGAGTGGCCGGAGAACCATCTCACTGTTTTGAGATCTGATAAAGAGAACCAGCATTGATCCTCCCTTTTCTATTTGAACTGCCCTTTAGGGCAACCAAATACTTAAGGAGGGGAAGTTTCTATCTGTCAAAGTATTTCAGTTACTCAAGGCAAAGTAGATGACAAAGCGTGTAACACCATCACTTCATGACTTCCAGTGACTGAGGCCAGGCTGGCCCCGAGCCTGGAAGACCTGCTTAGGGCACACAGCACCGCCTCTGCAGGGCCTGCCCTCCAAGGCCGTGCCGGGCCGCGGGCAAGCCGCTGGATCTACCCACCACGTCACAGCAGATGCAGCGGGCAGAAGAACGCGCTCAGTGGAAAGGGCAAAAGTCAACACAGGGAAACCTCTGACTACAAACAAGCAACCAAGAAAACGCCAGAGGAAAAGGGACAGGGAGGGGTTGTCGAGTGATGGAACAGACTGAAGGGCCGCATCCGCTAGCTGCCACTGTTTGAACCCCGCTCCACACAAACTAAAAAACTCAAGACAGCTGAGAAAAACTGAGTAGTCCTGTGATTATGAGTGATTTTTAAATAGCAGTTTTCTTGATACTTACCAATTTATCAAAAATAGCTATATATTAAATCTCACTTTGGATGCAAATATTTCAAACCCATTTTATATTTATTTTACTGTTCTAACATATTAAAGAGTTCTTAATTTCAAGTATAAAGTGCCACTCAAATCACAAATTAGAGACTAAAACACAGGGTATTTTGTTTCCTTTCAAACTCCTAGAGAACCATGGTTACAGAGCAAACAGTCCAAGTATCAAAAGATGCAATCCTGAGCTGAGCAGGCCTCCAGCCTGGGCCACTGGCAACTTCATGGCAGTGGGTGTCCTGCTGGGAAGGGCGGGCCTTGGGCTTTTGGAGGGCAGGCCTAGGAGACAGAAACCCCTCCCCTGCCCTGGGTTTCAAACACATTCATCATTACTGGGCCATCAGGTGTAATGTCACCTATTCTCCAAGTGTAATGCTGATTTAAAAAAATGAGAAATAAAAATAAGTTAGACACACACCAAAATATGGTGCCATGTGTGTGGAAGATACTCAAATACATCTGTCACAGACTGAAACTGCTAAAGCCAAAAATGAGTAAGTTCAAGATGTGTTTTAATCACTTTGTTTTTATGAAAAGCAAACTAGTTCCAGCTGAAAAAAAGAAATCTATACAAATTAAAATTTTCCAGTGACATACCCGTGTGTCATATGCTGTAAGGAAGATACAGCAAAGCTCAGTCCGGGAGGAAGAGACTTCGGTAAAGAAAGAAGCGAAGCAGTGCCAATCTTATCCTTCTTCAAAGAATGTAGTGGAGTCTCTTACCTGGGGAGTAAGAATAATACTTGGTCAACTCCACTGGGAACATTTTTCCAGATTTTAAAAACAGAAATCCAAAAATGTAAATTAAAAAAAATGATCAAGAAAGAAGTTTAAAGAAAACATTTTAACCACTCTACAGAAACATGTGCTTTGGATTTTCCACATTTTTTTAGTTGGACACAAATTACAAAGTCTGAATATGTTCAGACTACTTTAATTTTAAAATAACTTTTATCTTAAGTATTGCACACATAAAAAGCACAGACAACACATACGTTCGGTACACAAACACTAGTCCAACTACCATCCAGGCCAAGGAAGGAAGATAACACTGCTGGAACCCCAAAAACTCTGGGTGCCTCTTTCCGACCCCAAACCCCTTCCTCCCCCTGTGAGCAGCAACTACCCTAGCCTTTACGGTTATCACTTTACTTTTTAGATGTACCATCTAGGCATGCAGCACTGATATAGCTTCCTTTTGCCAAAATTTGAATTTTATATACACAGAATTATATTGTATGTATTCTTTCATCTTGCTTTTTTTTTTTTACTCCGCCTCTGCTGCTGTACCTGCCATTTATTTTCATTGCTGTGTAGTATTTCACTGTGTAAATATACCATAATTTACTTATCCATTCCCCTGTCCCCTCGGTAGTTCCTGCTTTGGAGCAAACACACACTACTGATAGTAGATCTTCCTGGTGCAGCTACCTCAAGCACATGAGCATGTATTTCTCCCGTGCAGACCCAGAAATGGGACTTCTGGTTACTGGGTATCAATTCACCCTTGCTACATAAAAGCCAGACTATTTCCCAGATCAGTTGTTACAATTATACTCCCACCAGAAGCATGTAAGAGAGTTCCTGGTGCTCAACTTCTTCAACAAGATTTGTCAGGCTTTTTAATTCTTGCTAACTGAACGGCTGTGCAGTGGTATCCTAAGAATTTTTTGTTACATAGAATTTTACAATTATTTTGAATAGGGGTGCCTAGGTGGCTCAGTTCATTAAGCATCTGATGCTTGATTTTGGTTCGGGTTATGACCCTGAGATGGAGCTCTGCTTTGAGCTATGTGCTGGGCATGGAGCCTGCTCAAGATTCTCGCTCTCCCTCTCCCTCTGTGCCCCACTCTCTCTTGGTCTCTATCTTTAAAAAAAAAAAAAAAAAGAATTTTTTACATTTCTTACATCTGTAAGAATTTTACATCTGACAATTGCTGCAATGCAATTTTTTTAAAAGTAGGCTCCAAGCCCGTGTGGAGCCCAAAACAGGGCCTGAACTCAGGGCCCTGAATCAACACCCGAGCTGAGGTCAAGAGTCAGACACTTGGGGCGCCTGGGTGGCTCAGTCATTAAGCGTCTGCCTTCGGCTCAGGTCATGATCCCAGGGTCCTGGGATCGAGCCCCGCATCGGGCTCCCTGCTCCGTGGGAAGCCTGCTTCTCCCTCTCCCACTCCCCCTGCTTGTGTTCCCTCTCGCGCTGTGTCTCTCTCTGTCAAATAAATGAATAAAATCTTAAAAAAAAAAAAAAAAAGAGTCAGACGCTTAACCAACTCAGCCACCCAGGCACCCCTGCTGCAATTCTGCAGCAAGCACCTGTTCAATTTTCTAATGGTTACTGTGCTACGATTTCTCACCAGATTTAATGAACTCCCCAGTCTCAGTCCACCAGCTTCCAGAGACACTGACTCTAACCCCCAGGCACAGGCGGCCGTGTATCAGTCAGGCCTGGCCAGTGAGAGCATCCTATTCCCTGGTCAGAGCTGGTTTTCCCCTGTGAACATACAAGTCAAAATTAATGAAGTCTTTTCTTCCTCCTCGGGGACTACAAGAGATTCTCTTTCCCAAAGAACTCGAACATGTGGAAAGCAGCCTGCCAACTAGGACTACCTATCCTGAACTTTGTGTGAGCAAGAAATGAACTCGTTTATATATTTATTTTGTTATAGGGCCTAGAGTTGCCCACCATGTTATGTGAAATGGCACTCTAGTCCTGCTTTTTGCCTTAAAATATGTTTTGTCTAACATTACACAATCTTGCTCTTGGTGTTTGCATAGTTTATTTTTGCCATCATTTTACTTTCAACATTTCTGAATCCTTTTAGATGAATCTCTTGTAAACAGTATACACTTGGAATTTTTTTTTAAATCTTATTTTAAAAAAACCTTGGTATCTTTGC